CAAAATGTCTTTTTGTTGACAGGATTCTATCTTGGACATTAAAGTACCAATATTTAAAGGACCTGGAGAGATGCCTGAAATCCGATCCTACATGGAAGAGTTCCCATTCCCATTCTATATCATTCTTCGAGATGTGAATGTACTTCCTGAGACACTCAGCGATGCCCTCAGACAGTGGTTTGAGTTAGTGACAGCTTCTGACCACCCGTAGAATAAAGAGAGAGCAATCCAAAGTGACTTTTATGTAAACTGTGGTCAGAATATCCTGGTGTTCCCTTTTGGACAACTGTTTTTGAACTTAGATCTGATTTGTAAAGTCATCTATAGCAGGCATAAAAAAGTTTATTGTAATGTGCATATTTATCTTACATGATCTCAGAGCCTAGAGAAAGCTCTCGGGCTCCCTGCTTTGCCTAAACTTGGCAGTGAAGGAGCAGTAGCAGCAAGTGTCTGAACTGAGGAAGAGCTGCTCTTCTTCCCTGTCTTGGAAGCCCTGGCCCAAGAGGGGGCCTTGGACACCTGTACCTTGGGAAGATGCTGCCAGGAACCTGGAACTGTTGCAAGCCTTTGGACAAAGGATAAAAGGAAACTGCCCTTTTGTCCCTGCTTTAAGCTCTGCCTTGCCAAGGGTGTACCCAAAAGCTGTCAAGTGGCTGAGACAGCTGCAATCTTCTGGAGAGTCAGAAGATGTGTTTTGTGATTATGAAAGAAACTACCTTCTTTTGGAGGGTAGGAAGTGTGTGGGGGGTGTGTTCTTGTAAAGCAAGTGGACATGGGAGCCCACATAATCTGCAAAAATGATCCTTGGGGCTGTGTAAAAACGAAGTGGCTTTTCAGTGTCCTCTTCACGTTTGCTGCTTCGGGAGACTATGCAATGATGAAAAGATGATTTTTTCCCTTTATTTCATTCAGTGCCATAGTTCCTGTTGTTGTAGTAATTTATTCCTTTAGTTCATTTTTTTCCCCTTAAGGGGAAGAAACATTCCTCACGCTGCTTTCAAGCTGGACTGCGCCAGTCTCATTCTGGAAAAGAAATGCTGTGTCCAGATAGATCTAAGTGGCTATATCTTATTTTTTCCAGTCAGAATACATCAGAAGTTTTTAAGCAATTTTTCCTTGGCCAGAAAGCAGTGCTTGAATACTTGAAACTGTGTGCTGTGTTCTATTTAATGTTCTTTTGTAAGCAACATGCTTACGTGCCATGATGCAATCATCTTTTCCCATGTCTGTTTTCAAGTTACACTGTGAAGTTTGCCACCCTTTTGAGGTGGTCATCAAAGACACAGATTGCTTGTTTAACCAAGTGTCCTAAAGCATGTACTTGAAGTTATATCATTATTTTTTATTCTGAAAAGCTATGCAGCTTATATTCTAAAAATTATTAAAACATATACCACTGTTTATGTAATTTGTGACCATTCTTAATGAAATGTGACAGGAGTATAAAAGGTATGCTAGGGAATTGATCTCTGCTAGATCAGTCAGCTCTCACTAGTTTATGCTGTGCTAACATGATCCCATAACTTCAATTTCTTACTCGTGTTTATGTCCATGGTGGGTGAGTTGTACAACATGCTGGCTTTGTCATAGAGGGAAAAGGGTGAGATTGGGGAACCATGCAATGACTCAAATTGGCTGAAGACTTCTATGGGGCAGGAAGTTTAATCTTCCAAGCAGGGTTGAATCTGGTAGGAAAAGACAACATGACAGTGGTACAGTTTATCACATGTACCTTTGAGAGGTCTAAGATGGAGCTTCCCAACTGGTATGCCCAGAATGCTTACTGTGGCCCTGGGTTAGCTCATGGAGTCTGGGACAGTTCCAGTAAGCAGGTACCTAAGAGTGCTATTTTCAACTTGTGATGGGAACGGCATTTATAGGATGGGTCAGGAACTGATGGGATTGAGGGTTCTTGACCCAGAGCAGGAAGCATGACATTCTTGAGTCACTTAAAGTTACTGAGAAACTGTGCTGACATTTGTGTACAGCATTCCCCCTACCCCCAAACTATACCGACTCAAATAGGTTAAGTTGATATTTAAGGAATGGACAGCAAAGTGCAAGTGTTCTGCATGCATCCTTAATAATCTCACTTTGGACAATCTCACCACATTCCTAGCCTTAATCATCATCTAAGCAAAAAGCCTGCAAAAGTCTCTATCCAGGCATCTAGAAAGGCTCTTTGGTATTCTCAATTATATTCAGATGTCTGCTGGAGCTGTACTTGAGTGATAGACTCTTCAAATGCATCATATTCAAAATGTCACTGTGTTCTAATTCCCCCCAAACCTGTTTCTTCAACCTACCACCCCTCTGGGTTGATCATTCCAGCAGCCACCCTGTTGAGAAACTTAGCTTAACCTATAACATCTGCTTTACTTCCCGCTACCTCTAAACTCTAATAAAATTAATCATCTTATCCTGTCTTTCCTTCCCCTCATCTGATTCCACTGCAGCTAGGGCTCTTTTAATCTTCAATGATATCCCAACTAATTGCTGAATCTTTGCTTGGCTTGCTTCATCTTACAATATCCAAGTTCTTTCTAAAATTTGTCTAGCTGGAAATCTCTTCAAAGTTTCCCTGCTGTGAGTACGGTACTATTCAAACTTCTTAGAGAACATGCTCGTAGGTCACAATGACTCTTCTTTCCCAGCATCCCCACCACTGTCCTGATCACAGCAAGCCATAGTTCCTGGAATCTGTCAGAGTTCTAAATTTTGTCTGAAATCCTCTTACTGACAACAGCTTTCTGACAAACATCTAGCCTGGAAAAGCCCTCCAGAAAGAATGAACTCCCTGGGTATGAACCTTTGAGCTGTCATCACTACATGAATTTATAGGTTTTTTTGCCCAAAGCAGGAGTCTTAGAGGAGAGAGAACATAAGACTCAACAGCATTACCAGTGTTTAGCATGAGTGAATGTGTCCAGATGGGAAGGAAAAATAGTGTAAAAATGTCTGTTCTCACATATAAGATTCAACACTATTTCGAAATTCCAATAAGGATTGTAAGATGATTTAGAGGGAAATGATATAAAACATTTCTAAAGGTCATATAGAACACTAAATAGATTTTTACAAAAAACTAGAGTGTCCTGCCATATCTGGACTATATATCTAAAACATACAAAGAAATTCAAAACTAGTCTAAGATGAAACAATCCAAAAGTTATTGAGCCCCTAAAAGAATTTACCCAATGCTGAAAAAGTCATCACAAAGCCCAAAAGAAGGAATGAATTATTTAATAAATGGTACTGAAGTTATAGCTTAGTGACTGGAAAAGAACTTAGATCCACATCATGCTTCTGTATGGAGTATTTTAAAAATTAAACAGTAAAAACAAAGTTGGTTACAGGAGATGAAAAGCCTCAAAAAATACAAGTAATGTATAGAGACTTAAACTTCCTGTATGTGTAAGTGATAAAAAATTAAATCGAGCTAACAGTCCATATAAAACTAGAATAAAAGTCCTCTTCATAAATGGACCCAAATCATGGACAATTCACAAAATCAGTATAACTAAAAATGGCAAGGGATACTTAACTTATATTTAAGAAAATAAATCAGCAATTGTTGCCGATCTTCCAAAATTTGAAAAATATATCGGTGACAATGTGGTCATGGAGTTAGCATCACTCATACAATGCCCAGTTAAGTTCAAAAGAGCTAAGTTCTTATGTGCCAGGTCCTGGTCTCAGTACATTACATACAAAACTGAGGTAGATGCTATTATTTAACTTTGCAGTTATGAAAATGGGCCAAGAGAGGCTAAATAACCAGAACACAGGAAGAGGGAGCACCAGGATTCAGACAGATCTGAATGGACATTTTTGGTTTTAGTACTATTTGGAAAAGTAATATGGCAAAGATTCACTAACCTCACTTTCTAGTAATATAATCATCTAGGTGTGTAGTGTGAATTGTGGGGAGGATAAAACAACTGTGAAGAAATAAAAGCTTGAGGCATAGGGGTGTGGGGTGTTCAGTTCCTGGTTATTAATGATGAAAAAAGTGCTTCAAACCACAGTGGGGCAGCCTGGTTACAAATGACAATCATGAAGACTGCCACTGGGAGAAAATGCTTGTGAGAGACAAGAACCGGATCAAAAGGGGGATAAAGAAGAATGAGAATTTTAACACATTGACTGCCACATCAGAAAAAAAACCTTTTTCCTTGGGGCCACTGTGTTTTATTAGGAAAATAGAAATAAAACTCTGAAAACGAAACGATCCTAATTTAATGAAAATTTTACTTTCTATGCGTGAGTTATATACAATTGTCAATATGAATTGTAACGAGATCAAGGACAGTTTCACAAACCAACTGCAGGGTTTTCCCCAGGGGGCCACCCATCCCGTAACACGTAGGCTGCCGCACTGCCGCTCCCATGCGGCTCCCGAGGCGAAGAGACCTGGGAGAGTTACCTATGCTTCATGAGGCCCCGGGCTCAAAACTAGCGTGCGTTAACTACAACTCACAGGGCAGTTGATGTGTTAAAATAACATTTTAAAACTTTAGTATTTTCAACTACACACGTTAAAAGGCTCGAAAGAACACTAATTTTCTCCCAACCCCCCTAAAAAAACTTGGCTTCCATTTAACGAACTCTTAACCATGTGCCAGGCCAAGCACTGTGCTGCCTCGCCGTACTTATTTCATTACCAGAACAGCTCTGTGATGCCCTGTAACCACATCTTAACTAGGAGAAAACAAAACTAAGTCAGGAGAAACTCCCAGCCCAGAAATATGCAGCTCTTCAACTCGCTCCAAGTCCCTGAGCTTCCATCCCAAAGCCCGGCAGTCAGTCAACGCACAAACCGCCTGCGGTCTCCCAGGAAACCGAGTTCGCCCCGCCCCCCGTGTGCGCCCCCACTTCCGCTCCTGCGCACTGAGGCTCTAGAGGGACGTTGGCGAATATGGCTGCTTCCCGTTTACCCCCCGCGACGCTAACCCTAAAACAGGTACCAGCTGCTCTCTCAGCCTTATAGAGAAGCTTACCCAGGTCTGAGCTGCTCGATTCACCACCTCTCCCTGCACCGTACAGAGTGGGTCTCGGAGGTGACCGGAGCCGCTCCCGGACTCCTGCCTCTGTGATTGGCCCCAGGCCTGAGGGTGGGGCTTCCCGCGAGGGGCGGAGAGGAAGCGCGCGGCTTCCTCTTGGCGTGGGCACGTGAGGCTTGGATTTCTTGGCCCAGATGCCCCAGCTCCCGCGGGTCACCTCGGGAGGAAGAGCCCTCTGTTCTGCAGAGCTGTGGTCAAGTGCAAATGTGATGACCAAAGGATTTGAACAAGTTAATTTGGAAAAAGTGCTGTTATTGTCATTACAACTTCTAGAAGACCAGCAGCCCTTTTTCTGCCTGGTAGTAAGCTTTTGATTTTACTGGTTCTGGTTTGTTTTGTTTTGTTTTTGAGACAGAATCTCGCTTTCTTGCCCAGGCTAGAGTGAGTGCCATGGCATCAGCCTAGCTCACAGCAGCCTCAAACTCCTGGGCTCAAGCAATCCTTCTGCTTCAGCATCCCGAGTAGCTGGAACTATAGGCATGAGCCACTACAGGCATGTGCCACCATGCCCGGCTAATTTTTTCTATATATTTTTAGTTGGCCAATTAATTTCTTTCTATTTTTAGTAGAGACAGGGTCTTGCTCTTGCTCAGGTTGGTTTCCAACTCCTGACCTTGAGCGATCCTCCTGCCAGGAACTCCCAGAGTGCTAGGATTACAGGCGTGAGCCAGCATGCTGGGCTGATTTTACTGGTTCTTAGGTTTGACAAAGGAGTAAGCAAACAGCAGATGAACTTCTTGATGCTTTCTTTAAAAAAAAAAAAAAAAAGTTTTTCTTTACCTCTTTTTAAATTGGTGATCCGAGAAGTTGGTTTGCTTTTCCGGGCTGGCGAGTGTAAGGTTTGTAAATTGCCATTTCTCTTCCCCTGTGCAGTTCATGAGAAGGCAGCAAGTTCTCCTTCTCTACAGAAGGATCTTGCAAGCAATTCGGCAAGTTCCAAATGATTCTGATCGCAAATACCTGAAGGACTGGGCAAGGGAAGAATTCAAAAGGAACAAAAGTGCCACAGAAGAGGTGAGAAACAAGATAATGGTGAGGACAGGCCCTGACTCATTGTATTGATTGAATTTTTTTTTTTTAAGTTTAGCAGACATCTTGGAATATAAATGTCACTGAGCTGGTATATCTTGATCGTTTTTGTAATATGACTGATTTTCCACTCACCTAAGTGATGTTTTAAAATTTAATATTGCTGTATCTGCTCTTTACATCATCACCTGACTTTTATGCTGTACGTTTCATATATATTTGGAAAGCTTTTGTCTTTCCTAATATGCAGTAGTTCAAATTCCCAGTATGGGTGTTTTTTTGGGTTTGTTTGTTTTTTGTTTTTTGAGACAGAGTCTCACTCTGTTGCCTGGGCTAGAGTGCCCTGTAACTCAGAGCAACCTCCAAATGGGCTCAAGCGATCCTCCTGCCTCAGCTGGGACTACACGCATGAGCTACCATGCCCGGCTATTTTTTTTTTCTCTGTTTTTAGTAGAGATGGCATCTCTCTCTTGCTCAGGCTGATCTTGAACTCCTGACCCTCAAGCGATCCTCCCACCTCAGCCTCCCAGAGTGCTAGGATTACAGGCATGGGCCACCGTGCCCAGCCTGGTTCTTGATTTTAACAAATAAAATGGTAGAGCTTGTTTAACTAGGTAAGACAATAACCAGATTTCATTCTCTTCTGCAGGATACGATTCGGATGATGATTACTCAAGGCAATATGCAGCTCAAGGAGTTAGAAAAAACACTTGCTTTAGCAAAATCTTAACGATGGCATTTTGAAGGATTTTAAAGTTTCCGTGCATTTTGTTAACTTTGGGCTTAACAATGGGCAGCCGGAAGCCAAGTCTTGCTGTTTCTACGTACAGTATTTGGGCAAAATATCAGAAGATGGAGCAAGGTTATGTCAGAGAGAGCAAAGGAAAGCACATCAGAAAAATTGCCTTAGTGCTGAAAAACACCCCAAGTTTTGAAAATCTTTGATACGACAGCAGTTTTTGAAAGAAGCATAAACCACTATAACAAATGGCTAGTTAGCACATGAAAAGATGCTCAACACAGTTATTTATCAGGGAAATGAAAACCAAAACCACAATGGGATATCACTTCACATCCACTACAATGGCTATAATTAAAAAAATAGCAAATGTTTTCAGAAATTGGAAGCCTTTCCATTGCTGGTGGGAACATAAAATGGTGCAGCCATTTTGGAAAACAGACTTATTTCCTCAAAAGGTTAAACATAGAACCATATGGTTTAGCAATTCTAGGTCTATAACCATCATTTGGCAATAAGAAGAAATAAAGGACTAATACATGCAACATATGAACTTTGAAAACAAATAAAAGGAGCCAGTCACAAAATATCACAAATTGTATTATTCCATTTACATGATCCAGAATAAGCAGAAAAATTAGTGGCTGTAGGTGGAATAAAGAATAACTGCTAATGGGTGTGTGGTTTCTTTTCAGGGTGATGAGAATATCCTATGGTTAGATTGTGGTGGTGGTTGCACAATTATGACTATACTCAAATCCATTCAACTGAACATTTTCAATGTATGGTATATGAATTATATCTGAATAGAGCTGTTTAAAAAAACTGTAATATGTAGGACTGGGGGTATACTGACTCCAAGAGATACCCTAGAACTTTCTTGAGGAATCCTTCTCCACTATCGGGGTTGTTGAGGTATGTTTTTCAGATGTGTCATGGTTTGATAGACTTTCCAAAATGATCATTACTGGGAATGTGGATCTTCTTTGGGAAAAGAAAAGAAAATAGCTTAATGAACACATTGATGCACTTACCAAAAAGAAGAGGGAAGACTTTAAGCAACTCCTGGATGAAACTTTTGTGAATACCTTAAGCTCCATGTAGAAAGAAGTAAAAAAAATCCTTAAGACAGACCTTCAGTGCATTCGGTTCTCCTCTAGTGACAGGAAAAAATAAAGAGAACTTGAAGAATACATGAGAGACAAATACATCACAACCAAGGCTGACTTCAGGATTCTTTTGAAAGAAACCAAATTTATAACATAATTCATTTAGCAAAGCTTATAAAAGATGCTGGGATTGGCAGTCCCTCAAACTGAAGTTGTCTGTTCACCAACAGAACAGAACTAAAAAGCCAATCTAAGAATCTGCCCAGCACCTGAAAAATGTAGGCAAAACTTTGTAGAATGATAAAATGGTATTCAGCAGTGGGCTATGTGCCAGAAGAGAGGCATGAACTAATGGTGGCATATGCTGATGACATGCCAGCGTCGACCACCACTTCTGAGAGCCTACAAGACTAATTCTGAGGACTCTTCCATGAGGGCAGTCTATTAATTCAAAATGCTTGCATGAGCCAATTTTCAGGTTTTTATATGTATTAGTCAACCTATATTGCAAAAAGATCTGCAACAACAGAAGCATTTCTTGAACAGAGACCACTTTGGAAATATTTTTGTGTTACATGACTGATACACTGTAAGGCGTTCTCTAGTAAATCTAAAACCCTGAAACTAAAAAAATCATTCTTTTATGAGTGTGAAAGTTGGTCACTTTTAGTGATGTTCTTGACAGTGGTGTACATGGATGAGTTAATGGAATAAGCATATGTGGTTTGAATTTGCAAGATGCAGTATCACAGACTCCAAGAAAACCTAAGTTCGGTTTGTTTAATTTTAAAGCAGATAAAACCCTAAAAATTGAATTATCTTTCAGAGGCTAAGATTACTGTGAATGATAAATACACTTTTACCTTCATCTCTAAAGAAGTTTATTTTGTTCCCTTATATACTTTGATTATCCCTTCTGAAGTCTTGTTTAGCTTAAGAGCTTTATTTAGCAATTTCTTCTAAAGTAAGAACCCAGTCATTAAGATGTTGGCCAGAGTAAAGCTCTGGTGAAACATTTTATTCATCATGAAGTGATTGTTATCAGCATTCTGGATCAGACAACAAATTACCTTCCTGGGTATTCCCTGAAAACTGTACTCCTGTTTGAATGTTAAACTTTTGTTCCTAAAGTTTAATTTTCAGATGTTTGTTCAGTTTATGTATTTGAGCAATCTTTTTATATTAAGGTTTAAGTACAGAAGCTTTATATAGCATAAGTGGCTAAAGCTATGCATTATATAACATTAATTGTCCCTGTGCCATCAGGTTGGAATTTTTAAGTTCATGGTACAAGCACTGCCATGGACGTGCATGCAGGGAGACAGATGATTTTCTGATAATTACTGAAAGCAGGACATATTCCCTGCTGTTTGTGTTATTGTAGTCATGCCAGTGGACACTTGTAAGAGAGCTGGAGACCCAAGTTTACCTAAACCATCTCTGTTAATGGAGTAAGGAAAATGCTAGTAAAAAAGGGAAGTAGCCTACCTGTACTTTGAAAAAAAAGTTAGGTTATGTTGAATAAGGACCAAACAAGATCAAAAGCAAAGATCAAAAGTCATTCTGCCAAACTAGAAATCTCCACAAGCTCTTTCCTTGCATAAGTCAGGCATTTGAGAAATTATATCAGAATCACATTAAATTTACTATTTTTGTTTACTGAAGAGAGTAAAACACTTTCTACCTACTCTTATTTGTAGTAAAGCGCTATACTGTGTCTTCCTTTAGTGTCTCATGGATTTAATATCTTCACATCTATTATTAAAGTCAAAGAATATATCCCCTTAAAATTACAAATTAAAAAATTGTTTTATTCATAAAAGATATCCTAAAAAGTCACTAGTTTAAGTGGGTTTGTCATTTAAGTCTTTCTTGATTGGCCTTTATAATCCACACTTCACAATCGTTAATTAGTCTAAAAGTATAATGTTACCTTGGCTTTTGCATATCATTGAACTATTACAAGTGGCACTTTGTCCTTCCCTTTTATCAAGTATTTTCCAAATGGTGAACAGCTTAAACATTTGTTAAAGCTTGCTCCAACAAATCTTGCCACACTACAGCAGTTTTGTTTTGATGCAGTGCACCTGATCTCAATTTTAGAGCAAATATATTTATACTTTTATAGGCAAAAAGTAAAGTGTAGCTGGGTAAAGGCACTCTTTTCAGGGGCCAGAAAATTTGATCAACCACAAATGAAATTATAGACTAAACAAGATATTCACACTTTCATTTTTTTTTTTTAATAAGGAATTTAAGATCCATAGTTTAGAGAACAATGTTTAATCCTTGGAGGAAACACAAATTCAAGGTGATAAAAATATTAAATAGAAGACAACATGCCTCTCAAGTATATCAACATTTGACTCAAAAAAGAAGGTATAAACATGAAAACATCACTTCTTTATTTTGGGGTTCTAAAGTCAAAAGACTGGAACTAGTATATTCAATCTATCACATAGTATACTCAATGCAATAATGCACTAACAATTAAAAAAAACACCACTGCAATATTGTACAACTTTTCTGTGTTTTACATCTTTTCCCACAGCTATTGAAAGTTTCAGCTTCAATTTGAAACATGACAGGCTATAAATTGTTAATAGTTCTATTTCTTTGGAAAAGTACAATTGTGGCATTTATTTTAGCAGATAGCTAAAAGGGAAAAATATAACACTGACCTGTAGCTAAGTTCTGACAATGCCAAGTAGCAAAAACACAGTTGAAAGTAAAAAGCTATTGCATTGGTCTTAATTGACCACCTCTCTGGGTTAGGAGGCCAACCCTGTCCTATTTCTTTGTCTCTATTGGTTTTCTCTTTTATGACAGACCTCCAAGAGGCAAGATTCACGTAGTGTGTCAGACTAGGTCCATTCAACCTTTCTCATTTCCTCTATAGTATCTTAATTTTTTATTTTTATTTATCTTTTGGAGATGGGGTCTGCTCTGTCATCCAGGCTAAAGTACAGTGACATCATCATAGCTCGCTGCAGCCTCTAACTCCTGAACTCAGGATCCTCCTGCCTCGGCCTCCCAAGTACTTGGGACTAAAGGCATGCATGACCATGCCCTGCTAATTTATGTTTTGTAGAGACGGGATCTTGCTAGTGCCCAGGTTGGTCTCAAACTCCTGGGCTCAAACTATCCTCCTGCCTCAGTCTCCCAAAGCCTAACTGAATTTTGACAAAAGTATCCAGTTCACTATAATAAACTGCCTGTTTCTGATGGGTATGAGGTATAATCAAAGTACTCCCACCAAAGCACTCTATGGTCTAGACTTGGTAATTAAAGTTTGTTTTCATTTTCAGCATTTTTGTCAAGGATACCTTGAGGTAACAGGAGATATTTTGATAAGTGAAAATAACTCCTGCTTGAAACATGACTTGCTCAAGTTCTCAAGATTTCATCTATTCTTTGAGTATTAGGTAGTTCTCAATAAATTGATGTATATTGAGGAATGACTCTAAAGAGGTTACTGATATCCTGTTTGGGAATAGATTTAGAAAACTCAAGGTACTATCCAGCTCTACAATTCTGTGATTCTGCATTAGGAACAGGAAAATGAAAACAGGAAAGTCCCTCTATATTAGCGATCCAGACATCCAATGAATGTCTCCAGGGAAAGGACTATCTACATAGTAGCTGAGGAACAAGACAAGCTCACAAATACACAAAAATCAACTTGAGATAACATCAAATTTATTCCATATTCAGTTTCTGTAACAATGACATACATCTACTGAAATAATACTTTTTTTTGGAATGTCTGGATCCATGGATTGTCACCCTAAAAAAACCTAAAACTGAGCTTGACAAAGGGACTAAAACATACTTTTTCTTGGTGTTCCCATGTTAAGAAGTCATCATTTTCTCTTTGGCTCAATGGGCAGCATTTCATTTGTAATTTTGGACAATAGTTAGTAGGTTCCAGTCTTTATAGAAATAGAAGTTTCTATGCATACATGGGCTTTTGAGGAGCTGAATATAATCCCACACTCCAAGGGACAAGACGTTTGTCTAAAGTTCCAACATATCCAGGCTACTTTTACAACTTTGTTTCTGTGTTTACATTTCATTATGGAGCAAAGTAAAGTCTTCCAGGCTTCACAAAGCTGGGGAACAGTGGGGCCTAAGTCAAGTTATTGAATAATTTATCTTAACAGAGTCGCTCACTGCAGAGCAGTGGAAAGCTTTGGAGGTTCTTCAAGGCTAGAACTCATAAAATTTAATACTTTCAATAAATTTATTTTTCCACTATTATGCAAAAAAAAGAAATAGCCTTATTTCTTTATAAAATTGAGAATAATCTCAAATTCAGAAAGGTATTCTAAGATAATTGAGTTTGATTAGGAATAGGTTATTTCAGGTAGTTGTTACATGAATGTTTTCAATTAATCTGCTTTAAAATAACTGATTTTTGGCTAAAAAGATAAAAATGATGATCAAATGATTTGAACCTTGCTCACTGGAGCTCATTGTCAACATTTCCAGTGCTGTTAGCAAGTTATTCATTATTTAAATAAGGTGACTTTTCAAAAAATTGTAAGATATAATGTATTTTGTGACATCATGAAAATCTTTCTCCTCAAAATCTGTTAAGTTTTCACCTGGTTAAAATGTCAGCATTTTAAGAATTACGAATTTGAGAAAGGGTTTAGCACATCTCAGAGTTAACAGCTCTCTTACAGAAAGACACTTGTCTAGGCACAGCAGGTGAGTTCACATTTATTTGAATGACTACTGGAGTTCACAAAGGGCTGATTTTTGCTGACTTTTGACTTATATTATTTCATACATCCTGAATTTTGGGGTTTCGGCTTACACATCATTCAATTTCTTAGAGCGGTTTGCTTAATCTGAGCTTTTGAACTTCAGATGAACCTGGACTGAAGTTTAGAGTTTGTAATGAAACCTGAAACTAAGCAAGCTTCCCCTAGTTCTAGTTAATTGTTGAAGTCTTCATAACTTCAGGGCATAGGAAGCATGTATCTGGCACATTTTAGAAATCAGTGATTTTTTTTTTATAGGCAAGTCTGCTTTGTACACAATAATCAACTCCGTGGACATACTATTCTACAGTTGCAAAATCAGAAATCCTCAAGGATCCTTTCTTCCACTTTCCAGGTGCTAATTTTCCTTCTGTACCCTCGTCCTTAGTTTAGCAAGTTCCTCTTCTAAACTTTTAATGTGTTCCTTCAGTGTAGCCTTGTCTTGCTGGGCTTTCTGACTGGCTTGGCTTCGTGCTTCCTCAATCTTCCTTTCGTACCACTTTTCCATCTGGGTGGAAACAGCCTCGAAAAAATACTGGGTAAGCTCCAGAGCTTGGGAGGTGTCCCGAGTGTGAGGGGCAGTCTGCTCACTGCCTGCTGCTGGTGGCGGCTGCCCACAGGCGCTGCTGGCTGCCGGCTGCTGGGCTCGATGCCTTGTCTGCCCACTTTTCCCAGACTTCTTAGTTTGGGTGCCTCTGTTGACACAGGGCCCAGCCTGATCACACTTGGCTGCCTCGTTCAAGGGCAGCGAGGCTGTCTGGACCTTGACGTTCCTCAGACGGGAGCCAGTGCAGTCAGAGGACGACAGCTCCTGCTGGAGTCTGTGGGGAGCAGTGGCGTTGGCAGCCTTTTCCTTGGGCCTGACCACCTGAGAGCCGTCAGAAGCCGCCACTGGACCTGCAGTCGCCACTGACTGATCCACACCTGGTTTCAGAAGGAAAACAAACATCAGAGCGAATCCACATTCGCACAGTCACATGGCTGTGGGTTGGCGTGCGTTTGAGAGTTGCAGGAACCCTGTAAACCAACCAGCTTTCCCAACCACCCAACGTATGTAACCTCCCCTCTGTGGTTTTACTCACCTTTCTGTCCCTCCCCCCTTCCACTTCATCTCCCCTGATCATTTTGCTTTATCAGGGTTTTCATGAATTCTGTGCTTAGCCACACGGGTGCCACCTAAGCCAGAACAGTCTCTGGCCTTTCCTTCAGTCTGCCTCAATCTACCAGAGAAGGCTCTGGGTCCCATTTCCTGAGGCCTACGGATGACACAGCTCACTGTAGATTACACAGTCTACGGATGAGACACTCACTGCGTTGAGTGTCTCAACGCAGAACTGGACATTTATCTACGAGAATGAATATCCCCGTTGTCTAATTTCTGGGCCCAATCCACACCACAGCCTCAGTGTACCAGTGCCTTGCCCCCTGCTCCAGTTTGGAAAGGAGGTCCTCCTCCCCACACCCAGAGCTCCAGGATGAGCAGGACTAGTCCCTGCATGAAAATCTGCCCAGGGAGTTTCCCAGTGTTGTTGGCACAAAGAATATAAAACCGTGTTCATGAGACGGCCTGTGCCTGTGGTAACTTAAAACACTTAGCATATCAAAATCCCCCACTGCAGCCTAATTACCAAGGTTCTGAATGTTCTCAAAATTATCACTGAGTGTAGTCACTGTGGCTAACGTAAAGATGCTTTGCTTGAAGCATTTCTTATGTAGCACCTGTGGCATGTTCAATAGTGAACTGCTGTTTAATGAGGGTTTGTATAGTTGGACAAAGGTAAACAGCTGACTAGGGAGAAGAAAGAGGTAAAAGGCACAAAAGGCAAGGGTGAGGACCCTGCTGAGAGAGATGGTCACTCATCACCTTCCATCTTTGGCGTCCACCCTGACACCATCAACAGTGTAACCAACACAATGTTATCACCGATCAACAATTCTTTTATTCCTTCAAATATATTTCGACACTTAAACAAGAGTGCTTTATTACTGTATAGGGCCTGGGTATACAGTTGTGAGCAACACATGGTCCTTTCCCTTACAAAGTGTACTCTACAATCCGGACTGCCCTCAGACATAAGAGAGAACAAGATCTGGGGGTCATGTTACCTCTGGACCGAAGGTCTCTCTCTGTATGTGGGTTACCTGTGGATGACTCGCAAGTAGATGGTGTGGATTTAGCCCTGGAGGCTCTAGAATCTCCAGAAAGCTTCAGCTCCAGATTCTGAATCTTTAACATGCACCAGGTTTTTAATTCATCCACCAAGGATGTCTGAAAATACACACACACATATTAGTACACAAAAGAATCAAGTGAATTTGATATATGGTTTGTGAAGTAAAGCATCAAAGATGGACTTTTCAATTATGATAGTTGAGGATATCTTGCCAAATACAAAAGTTGTGGATTATCCATCCTCCCATAGGCCACAGTAGGCATCCAAGCAGAGAGTTACCTATATTCTTCATTAAGTGACTTAGAGCTACCTTCACCTCAATTAGAGCCACCCAAATCTTCCAAACCAAGCACTTCTGGCTGCTTAGAAGCATGAGTTCTCTCACTCACAGGTACTCATCCCATGTCTCTGGTCCTGTTAGGCAGTAACTCCCTGAGGGAAGAACTCACCCAATGCGCAGGACTTGGAATTGTTCCGGACAGAGATGGCATTTTCCCCAGCACGTTCAGTCTCCACCTACTGCCACCATATTCAGCCACAACCACAAACAGGACTAAAGGCTCTTTCCTATTACCCTCATATTTCAAGGTTATGGCAATGATACGCCATGTAATGCAAATACTTCTAGGGAGTGTCAGCCTCTGGGTTTTCAGTGTGGTAACCGGCAGGTGGGGGTTTGTACCTGTCGTTTCTCTCCCTCGTGCTTCTCCAGGTCTGAGTGCTGCTGCAGGCGGTTCAGGCACTCCGTCCTCTCTGCAGAGAGTCGCTCGACCATCAGCTTGTCCAAGACTCGCATCTAGGATTCAAGGGGACCAGAGCGTGTGACTGAGATGATCTAAGGATGGGCCCTGGTCTCTCCTGAGGAGGGGTTCAGGGGTACCAAGCAGGGACCAGAAAACAAGCAAACCTCAACTCCTTGTTCTATTCTGTTTTCATACATTATTCACGGAGCTCTGTTTTTACAGAATTCCTGAGCATGGTTCTTTTTCTCATTTGTTCAAGTCCTAAGGAGTTTAAGAGACTATGAATATGTAGTAAGTAGACAGTGAGCACATGCAGACCTAGTAGGAAAAATGTAATTTTTACAGATCTTCAAACATTATCTCTAAGACTCTGTAAGGAAAAACGATCTGAAAGTATGGAGCTATTCCCTCCCCACCACTCACCTTAAAAATGTTAGCTATCACCCAACAAGGCAGTGAAACAAGCTGAATACTCCGGGCTCTTATCCAGCTTTTCCAGTAAGCAAATATTTTTGGCGCTTCATTGGAAATAGTCGAAGCATGTGTGAAAAGACCACGGAAGGAGTTTAAAGGATTGTTTCAGAGAACAAGCGACTGTCATTTTTTAATCGCATGCTCTTCTGGGGCCCCCCTCATCTTGATGGTTCCTGTAAGGCCCCCTCATACCTAGCAGGGCCAAACTTTCACTGCTTTGACGAGGGTCCAGAGAGCAGAAAGGAACTGTTGCTAGTGGGAGCCAGCCCACGAGGCCTCACTGGTGACCTCCTCCCCTGTCAGGAACATACGTGGCAGTCCACACTCAGATGTTAAGAAAACATTTAAAAAAGAAACATCATGGGCCAGGCGCCGTGGCTCATGCCTGTAATCCTAGCACTCTGGGAGGCCGAGGCGGGCGGATTGCTCGAGGTCAGGAGTTCGAAACCAGCCTGAGCAAGAGGGAGACCCGTCTCTACTATAAATAGAAAGAAATTAATTGGCCAACTAATATATATAGAAAAAATTAGCCGGGCATGGTGGCGCATGCCTGTAATCCCAGCTACTCGGGAGGCTGAGACAGCAGGATTGCTTGAGCCCAGGAGTTTGAGGTTGCTGTGAGCTAGGCTGACGCCACGGCACTCACTCTAGCCTGGGCAACAAAGTGAGACCCTGTCTCAAAAAAAAAAAAAAAAAAAAAAAAAAAAACATCAGTCTGGAGATGTGATGAATACCCTGTTACGTCTCTCTGGTCCTGTGTTTTTCTGTGAACTGCTTTCCTCCTGTTTTTTAGGATTGGCCTACTCTTCCATCTCCTCATCCTCTTCCTACCGGTAGCTATTTCAGGAGACGCTGTGTTCACAGGTCAAGGTTGATTGGCTCAGGCTTGAGCACTCATTACAGCTAAGATTTTGCATCCCAATCTTTTACCTTCCTTGAGCTAAAGCAAGGTCCTTGAGATATCCCAGCATTCATCTAACACTTTCCTCTTTGGGCTTAGGCTAGCTGAAATGGGTTTTTAATACAGGAAGCAGTCTTAATTAATACATTGTGGACCAAAGAGAAGATTTTTTAAATAGGCTTTCTACAAAATTCAGATAGCAAATAAACCTCAAAAAGTTTCAACTTTTAGTGGGCGCAGTGGCTCACACCTGTAATCCTAGCACTCTGGGAGGCCAAGGCAGGAGGGTCACTTGAGCTCAAGAGTTCGAGACCAGCCTGAACAAGAGTGAGACCCTATCTATACAAAATATAGAAAAATTAACCAGGTGTGGTGTAGAGCACCTGTAGTCCCAGCTACTCAGGAGGCTGAGGCAGGAGAATCAGTGGAGCCCAAGGGTGGGGTTGCAGTGAGCTATGACGATACGACTGCACTCTAGCTAGGAAGACAGAGTGAGACTCTGTCTCAAAACAAAACAAAACAAAAAAGGATCAACTTCACTATAGTAAACAAGGAAATAAAACTTGAACAGTAATATATCCTTAATATGGCAAAAACTTTTTTAAAATGATAATACTAAATGATGGCAAAGGTTTAAGACAGAAACTCAGACACTGCTGCTAGGATATAAATTGGTACAACTTTCCTATTTAGTAATTTGCCAATATTTATCAAGAGCCTTAAACATATAGCTTTGGACTAATTCTAATTCTGAATAATCTGAGGAGTCAAAAGTTTATGCATATAAATGTTCATCATAGCATTATTTGTAAGAGTAAAAAACTATAAGCAACTTTAAAATTCTAACAATTATTAGAATTGTTCAATTATGTTGTATATAATTTGCTGGAATATTATGAAACCAAGGACAGGGGAAAATACTCATGACATAAAATTAAGTAAAAAAGCAGAAGCAAAATACTATTCTCTACACATAGGAAGAGTACACCACCATTAAGAAGTACACAGGCTGGCACAGTGGCTCACGCCTGTAATCCCAACACTTTAGAAGGCTGGGGGGGGGGGAAGATCGCTTGAGGCCACAAGTTTGAGACCAGTCAACATAGTGAGATCTTGTCTCTACAAAAAATTTTAAAAATTAGCCAGGCATGTGGTGTGTGCCTATGTAGTCCTAACTACTAGAGAGGCTGAGCCAGAAGAATTGCTTGAGCCCAGGAGTTTGAGGCTGCGGTGAACTATGATCACACTACTGCACTCCAGCTTAGGTGTCTGAGCAAGACCTTATCTCTTAAAAAAATAAGATAAAGTACATTGTATCTCTACATGTCTAAGTTATATTGCTAGATGAAAATGCAAGCTACAAAAAAAAAAACCCTCAAAATCACAGCATAGTTGTACTTTTGCTTAAATGGAAGAGATCTCTCGGGAAAGTCAACTATGATACATATTTCTGTAATGGGGGATGTTTTCCCAAAAAGCACACGTTATTTTTAAAGTATTTTTTCATATTTAAAAATCTATATCAATCATACATTTATTACTAATTAAAAAGGGAAAAATGTATCTTTACAATGGAGGAATATGGCAGTTACCAACTTAGCCAAATGCTCAAACTTAACATCATTAATGAGACATTCTGTGCCTCCCGATGTGAGATAATTTGAAGCTTACACCATTAAGTATTCTTTTTTTTTTTTGAAAAGACATAGTCTAGCTCTATCGCCTAGGCTGGAGTGCAATGGCGCAACCACAGCTCACTGCAGCCTCAAACTCCTAGGCTCAAGCAATCATCTGACCTCAGCCTCCTCAGTGGCTAGGACTACAGCCACATGCCACTACATCTGGCTAATTTTTAATTGTTCTGTAGAGACAGGGTCTAGCTACATTGCCCAGGCTGGTTTTGAACTGCTGGACTTATACGATCCCCCCGAGTCAGCCTCCCAACGTCCAGCCTATGAAATATCCTTATCAGAAATATTTAACCTGAACCTAAACACACATCTAGGCCAGTAGTTTTCAAACTTTAGCACACACCAGCATCTCCTGGAAGTCTTGTTAAAACACAGGTTGATGGGCCCCATCCCCAGAGTTTTATTTATTCACAGTTAAATTCAGTAGATCTGGAATAAGGCCCACAAATTTGCCTTTTCCCTCCTCCCCCACAAGTCACCAGGTGATCTGATGCTGCTGGTCCAGGGACCACACTTTGAGAATCACATTCTAGGCCTAACTTTCAGTTTACAGAAACACAGGGATAGAGGAACAAGTTAAATAACACCATGAAAAACTTATCAGACAAATCTAGAATAAAACATTCTATAAAACAACTAGCCTGGATACTTTAAAAAGTAAATATCAGCCAGACATGGCAGCGTGTGCCTGTGGTCCCAGCTACTTGGGAGGCTGAGAAGGGAGAATCACTGTAGCCCAGGAGTTCAAGGTCAGCCTGTGGCAACATAGCAAGACAACCAACTTCAAAAAACAAAAAACTGGGCTAAAAAAGTTAGCATCATAGGCTGGACACGGTGGCTCATGCCTGTAATCCTAGCACTCTGGGAGGCCGAGGAGGGTGGATCGATTGAGGTCAGGAGTTCGAAACCAGCCTGAGCAAGAGCAAGACCCCGTCTCTACTAAAAATAGAAAGAAATTAATTGGCCAACTAAAAATATATAGAAAAAATTAGCCAGGCATAGTGGCACATGCCTGTAGTCCCAGCTACTCGGAGGCTGAGGCAGGAGGATTGCTTGAGCCCAGGAGTTTGAGGTTGCTATGAGCTAGGCTGACACCATGGCACTCTAGCCCGGGGGACAGAGTGTGAACCTGTCTCAAAAAAAAAAAAAGTTAATATCATGGGGTGAAGGTGGTAGCCTAGACTCAGGGCTGTTCTAGATTAAAACCTAACAGTCAAATGCACAAAAGTGAACCTTCATTGGATCTTGGAGTGGGATCAAAAACAAAAATAAGCGATAAAAAAAAAATTTAGGACAATTGAGAAAATCTGAATAAGAACCGGATATTATGCAATTATTGATTTTCAGATGTGATAATGGTGTTGTGGTTACAAAGGAGAAAGTCATTATTCTAACTCTAAGCACTCTGTAGAGGTTCCCTGTCAAGAGCAGTTTGCAACTAAATCTCAAACAGTTCAAGAAAAAAAAAACAAATGTGTGTGAAACAGACAAAGCAAATGCAGCAACATGTTAACAACTGGTTGAATCTAGGTGAGTGCATACAAGCACTCATTACATCATCCTATATGTTTAACAAATTAAAAAGTTGGGAAAAGAAAAAAAAACTATAGACATGGTTATTCTAATTTTGTATGCGATGGGCAAGGGGTATAGGGAACATCAACATATAAAAAGACTGCAAAAAAATATGCCCCAATATTAATAGTGCTTTTTCATCACAGTGGGCTTACAGGCGATTTATCTTCCTTTCTAACTTTTTTATTTTTTAAAATGGGGATATCTTACTTTTATAATCAGAAGCAATTTAAGCATGTTCTAAAAAAATAAACACACTTTAACAAAATTACATAAGCAGACCTCTTCCCTGACAGCCCACTGGACACCCTCGGGGCGGAAGGGAGTGCTAAAGCCAGTTTCTACCCAAGCTCACGCTCTGCCAGACGCCTTGCAGTTGGAAGGCTGGGCTGTACGACTTACTTGGTGCTGGGTCTTATTCTCCATGTGCCCCAGCTTTGTGTTCATTTTATCCTGAACCGACCCCAGCTCTGCTTTGATCTCCTCCACAGTGGCCTCCAGCTGGTTCTCCAGCTTGTTGATCAGAGGTTCACATCTGCAACCATTGATTGGGGCCTGAGAGGGAAACAGAAAAGGAGTCAATCCCTCGTTTGTTCCTTTAACAATCATGTTTCCAACACCTACTACCGTGTTTCCCCGAAAATAAGACAGGGTCTTATATTTATTTTTCCTCAAGAAGACACCCTAGGGCTTATTTTCAGGGGATGTGTTATTTTTTTTAAGTACGGTAGAGAAGATAGATTGGGGGCCATGGGTTCTAAGGAAACAGAGTCGCAGAAAATTCAGGATGGAATTCGGGGTTTGGAGAGTTATGATGATGATCCAGAGAAGAAAACTATGATTTGAATAAGATGTAGATTGTTGTAC